CATCCACCATATCCCACAAATTAATTTTTAATGTAGTTTAATTTGATATAAATTCTATTTGTAAATTTTTAATTTATTTAAATTTAAATAACTAACGAATAAGAAGCTATATATTTAATGGCAAATAATTTTTATTAAATAAATAAATAAATGCTAGAAATTTAAAGATAAATTTGTTATTTGTTAAAATTCATAAGGATAATTTATGCTATTCACTTTTAACACTTTTGGATTAATTTAAATAATTAACTAATAAATGCTATATATTTAATGAAAAATAATCTTTAATACACAAATAAAAAATATTAGAAATTTAAAAGTAAATTTGTTATTTTTTAAAATTTATGAAAGGTCGTTCACTTTTAATAATTTTAAAGTTCACACTTTTATATATAGATGATATTCTCAAAAATTTTACTTTCCTTCCATACTCTCACATCACCAATAGTTAATTTGTGTCCTACATATGCTTAATTATAGTAATGATCAAAGAGTATAGATTATGTACGATAGTAAATTTTATGAATTTTATGTACTTGAAAGTATTAACTTTATTCAATATTTGTCTGAAGACAATTATAAAATGATCATGAGAGTGTGAAATAATATGATCACGAGATTGATAATGTTTCATAGTGTCTCCACAGACTCCATACGTAATGGAAAGATAAACATCGAACAATCGATGTTATGATGTTGATGTATGTTTTGGTAATGTAGCTATCTCGTTAGAGAAGGGCGATATGGCTGATACATTGTTCTGCAATTAGCAGACTTTATCAATGTCCATGCAGGGTATCTGTCAAGAGTGCCGACAAGCATCTTTATTGGACTCAATGATCTGAATGAATTAACTTGGATAAGGATAAAGACCTAACATTACCAAAAGGGCAAAAAAAAAGTAAAAAAGATTTGAATCTGCTGGAGGGACATGTTTGAAATCTGTATCTTCAGTATATATTAACTTGGCATTGCCGTTAAGAAAGTCAATGTCGTCGAGATTTGATTCAATGACTCCAAAATCTACCTTCAGTTTATAATTTTTTTGAGTAATCAGGTCACCATTTGAAGTATCAAAAACCAAATGTAGTCCATATCTTTTGTTGCCCTTAGCTGTTTTAATACACCTATGCCATGAGCTGGTAAGAATAAATATGCTCGATGGCTGAAATTTCTCAAAACTTTTCACGTTCTAGGGCATCAGTTTCTCAAAAAATTTTCTTGTTAGATTTCATTTTAAGGTATGAAATAGGTCTATGTCCATATTATTATATTAAACAAGTCGTGTCACAATTAGTATTAATATGCTAAACACGAAATATATATTTTTTTATTAAATATATTTACAATTTTTATTAATGAAAATTTTAAATTATATTATTTTTATATTTTTTTATATTACTTTCATACCCGACATATCATATTTCAAATTGAAAGCTTTGTAAAATATTTTTCACATGACATCTGCAAGTCTGAATGCACTCAAACTTATCGTAATCGGCTGAATAAAATTTTGGATCAGAATATTACTTAAAACACTTGGTGTTTTGGCTTCGCTAGTCTAGCCCAAAACCAAAAGACATCAAAATTATGTAATTTGGCCAATATATTTTTATGACAGAAATATTATGATGCAACGCTTTCTTTTTTTTTTCTCTTTTTCCACAGCCTCTCAAAGTAACTATTCAGAGTTTCTGACTGCCGTTTTGTTCGGGAATCAGCCCTAAGTTTGTGGTTACTATACGGATGGAAACATATCTATTTGTCAAGTGTTAACTGATGACAGATGGAGAAGAACAAAAGATACTGACAGACAGGATGACCTGAAATGTTTGCAGATCAGTTAAAATGATTCATTAGAGCTGAGAAAAGTAGGTGAATCATAAGATAAGAAGAGTTATTCTATTTCTTAATGCAGATGAACTCATAATTTGGTTTGGGGGTAAAAAAGTTAAAGGCAGAGTCGTCTCTTCATAATTTCAAACATCTATAAATTAAAAATTCGTGACAGAGGAAACTAGTCATAATTGGTTGAAGGGTTAATGCCCCAAAACTAATTGGATACCTTGAATTGTAAAATCAGCAACTTAGCCTAATTGTAGGATGTGCAGTTCATTACAATGTGTATCCATCCCCCTTGAATTCAGTCTCATCATGGTTGAACCAATTGAAAGCTGTCAGCATTTTTCTAGTTGTTGGGAGACGGTGGAGAAAGAAGCATGTGTGTCTTTTATTGGGGGAGGGAGGGGCGGAACATCCAGCTGCTATGACAATGTTAATAAGCATGTGTCTTATTAAGTCTGAAAGGACCAGGCAGCCAATAAAACAATGAATTTATTGTTCTTGATCAGGACCAAGCCTAATCTTGACCTCTATCATGTGCAGTAAATATGTTTAGGTGGAGGTTTCATGCTTTTGCCCATTCTTTGTATCTTCATTCGTCTTCTGATATTGAAGCTAATGACTTAATGATGCTATTTATGATAATTTGGCAGATTCGTAAGGTTAAAACTTAAAAAGACAGCAAAATTATGTAGACATGTAACTGTTTCAGTGAGGAGCTGTAGGATTTTTTATACAAGAAATACTACAAAGCATTTGTGTTTACCATCTCAAATTAGTAGTTGGTAGGTTGGTTTACTACGTCATCTTTTAAGAGATGCATCTTCATTCTAAGTAATGGGGCAATAAAATGCTGCCTGCTGCAACAGAGACACTCAGAAGACATTGAATGAGATTTATTACAACGCATTGGCACATCAGAACAACTTGATTTAAGGAGTCGGTAGGAAAAAGATGATCAGATCTAATGGATCAGAACATAAAATTTTGTGGTCTCTGCTAAATGTTGAAAGAAATTATGTAAATATATTTTCTTTGCATGACATGGACTGAAGCTCCATAGCAGTGTCTAAATGCATGGAATAGGATGTAAGCAATGCCGTCAGTTTATGATACTTGCTGTTGTATTCCCATACTGTGAAAAAGTTGTCGGTTGATTTGCAAATCCTAACAGGAACAGAAAAATGTAGATTATACAACTTAAACATCATTAACAGGTCCTCTCTCATTAATTTTGGAAGGAAACTTGCAGATTACGCTTACGTCACAGGACACTTCATCACAATCCTGTTAACAGTTTCTTTGAGTTTAAGTTTTTCATCCTAGAAGATATTTTGCAAATAAGACCATTCTTTTCTCTTATGCCGTTAATTTTCTTAGTTGATTATTTAAATGGTTTATATTTGATGTATTGTCAATTTTATCTATTATTAATAAATTTGATAATATTATTTTATTATTAAGATAAATTAAATAATATTATCTCATTAATAAGTTTTATTTAAAATATTACTTTTTTATATATTTATTTTAAGAATTAATTTTTTTTAACTAAATAAGATTAATATTTGTTCGTTAATAAAATTATATCATTTAATTTATTGATAATATATAAAATTTATATACTAATAATATATCGAATATAAACTTTTTATTTAAAATTTTGAAAGATATTCTTTATATTTTCATATGGATCAAAAACCATTAAAATATTATCATGTCTGGAAAAGGATCCTTTCCACCATTTAAAAATCAATGAAAGTTTCTTCTATTTTATTTAAAGGTGATCAATACACTTTTAATTAAATATATAGTGAATATTTATTGAAATTATTTTTATCTTTTTAATTAATTTTTATTTATTTTTATATTTCATTTAAAATTATTAAATTTCAACTATAGATTTAATTGAAAATATATTCATTACTCTTAAATAAAACAATAAAAATTTTCACTGATTTTTAAGTAATAGAAAGAGTTTTCCTCATTATTTCATATATATTAAATATTAAATTTTTTATAATTTTATATTCAAATTAATCCCCTCACCTATAATTGATTTTATGTTAAATACCTTACGTAATATCAAAATTCGTACTCTATTATGTTATTATTGCTTGTTACTTTGGCATGCAATCTCTGCCAAGTTTATTATATGTTACGTCACCTCAATACCTGGTCACTTATAACCATTAAGTCGAACCGTCGAGGATTAACACAAACTAGTAGCTAAAGGTCAAACTAGCATTAAAGGATATAGCAACATGGTCATGGTCAAATTTGGTGCAGACTTGTGAATAAGATAAATGACTTGTTAGGAAGCTTTAAATGTATGTGCAGCATGCTTTACTCCACCAAATTAGGCTTTTCCCATTACTGTAATAATATCTTAGTAGCATCATCTTCAATCAATTTGAACTTGGAAATATATGACCAAAAGGCCTCGTAGAGATGGATGCCAAATTTGTCTCTCGGTGCCATAAAAAAGAAACCGACTGATGAACTAAACTGTCAAGCTAGCACACCGTTTAACTGGTTTTGCCAATCATTTTCCATCACCTGGAATCTATTGTTGAAACATAAATACCTAACTTTCCTTCGAGTGGTAATAATATTGGTCTAAGGACCACAAATTAACCGTTCTAGAAAATAGAAAACTTGAAATGCATGAAGAAAAAAACCATTTATTTACATCCTGTTCTAATGAAATTTAATCACAATTTGCATTTATATGTAGGAGCAACTTTGCTAAATCACGTTAATGCTTGCTTGACTTTTCCTATCAGTCAACAAAAACAAAGCTTGTTCATTTATAATTCAGTGTGTCAAGCAAGCTCGAGGCTCAATACTCGAACAAACATGATGGAATACACTAGATTGTAGTTTAAGACATGGATCTTGGGCAGGTAGATGCATAGCTTTTGAAAATAGGAAAGGAACAAACATTAGAAGCAAATCAAAATTGAAGGCTGATTTCAAATACTTGATATTTGTAATTATATGAGGTCCTGCCAGTGACATTGACTCCTAACTCTTTTAGCCCCTTTAAACCTCTAATTATATAACATGGTGAGATTTGTCAGCATATCCTCAACCAGGATGGTGGAGGACTGGGTACCTTGCCCGGATAAGCAGCCACAGTTAGGTATATACAGAAGATAATTTGGTAGTCAAGACAAGCCAGAGTCAAATACACCCCTGTTCTCTTTCTTTTACTGGTTGATGGCAAAATTTAAAGGAGAGCGAAATTAGTCAGATTTAAGCAATATTGAAAAACATTGATAGAAATGAAATTGCATAGTTTTCTAGCCAATTTTCTTAAGATGATGGCTTTCTTTTCCTTTCTAGTTCATATATATGACAAATGCTAGAACATTGGTCATTGCAACCGTCATCATTGCCTCAAATTTACTTTTGTTATCTTAGACCAACATATCTACCACCATTTTCTCCATGCACGTATTGAAAACATAAGAAAAGTTGAGTTCTGGAGCTATTTTGGATGGCCAAAAAGGCTGCACATGCATGAGAATACAAGAAATTTAATCTGTGATAAATGCTTCTCCAATTGGCATTTTGTATATAAGTTGAACCAGAAAATGCTCGTTGAGCAACAAGAAGATATAGAATAGACATTTCAAAGAGTGCTGATATGAGCATTCTCGATAGTGGTCTCTCATAAAACATGACAAAAAAGAAAACACCATATCGCATACAAGAAAATAGAATACGAGTTGACAGCAGCTCTTATTTGTAGGTAGTGATCTATTTATATAGGCATAGTAGTTTAGTTGTTCGGATGACTAGGTGACGGGGGCTTCTCCAATGGAGGGTGTCCTGGATAGTGACCATAAGGTGGCTCATATACTGGTGGTTTCTTGGGAGGTTCATATACCGGCGGCTTCTTTGGAGGTTCATAGACTGGGGGCTTGGGTTCTGGCTTTTCTTTCTTTGGAGGTGCATAAACCGGTGGCTTTGGTGGCTTAGGTGGCTTAGGTTCATATACTGGTGGCTTCTTTGGAGGTTCATATACTGGTGGTTTCGGTTCTGGTTTCTCTTTCTTTGGCGGTTCATAAACTGGTGGCTTTGTTGGCTTAGGTTCAAACACTGGAGGCTTCTTTGGAGGTTCATACACCGGTGGTTTGGGTTCTGGTTTCTCTTTCTTTGGGGGTCCATAAACTGGTGGCTTTGGTGGCTTAGGTTCAAGCACTGGAGGCTTCTTTGGAGGTTCATACACCGGTGGCTTGGGTTCTGGCTGCTCTTTCTTTGGAGGCTCATAAACTGGAGGCTTAGGTGGCTTTGGTTCTGGCTTTTTCTTCTTAGGAGGCTCATAGACTGGTGGCTTGGGTGGCTTAGGTTCTGGCTTTTCCTTCTTTGGAGGTTCAAAAACTGGTGGCTTAGGTGGTTTAGGCTCTGGCTTCTCTTTCTTTGGAGGTTCATAGACAGGGGGCTTGGGTGGCTTAGGTTCCGGTTTCTTTGGAGGTTCGTAAATTGGTGGTGGCTTCACCTCCGGAGGTTTGTGGACAGGAGTAGGTGGTTTCCCATAGTTGGGTGACTCGTAGGTTCCAAAGGAGGGAGTGGTGAGAACCACCACTCCAAGGAGCAATACTAGCAAGTGTGTAAGAGACATCATTGAGCTGTCTTTCGATGGTGCAATGAGAAGTGCCTTTTATAGTGGTAGGGGAGCCTTTTTGCCAAAAATTTCTCTCGTTTCATACCTTACCAAGGAGTTAGCTAGATCTGTAAATCTTGTAGTAATTCATAAATGTAATAGGGCCCATTATGGTCCCACTTAGTTGAAATTTTGGACTATGGACACAAGACCTTACTCATGAATGAAGAAGATTACAAGAGTGTGGTTTTAGCAGCTATATTTGCTTTTTATTCCTTTTTTTATTATCAACAGTCCATCCTAACAAAGATAAGAAGAGTGAGGCATGAAAATATCTGAACAAGAAACTCAAACTGAAGAGAGTTTCTATTAATAATCCCCTAGGATAAAATTGCACATCTTGTAACATCATGAAAGCTGTTTAATGTCTTAATAGATTATCAGGATTTGAATCTTGATCATTGAAACTAAAAGTTCAAAATTCTACCAATAAGTCACTCATCTGTTAACAATTCTTTGACTGTTACAAGAAAGATAACAGAAATGTTTTGATGACAGCAAACGTCCTTCTGGATTGCAAACATTCTTACTAATTTCAAATGCAATGGCAGATCTATAAGAAAACAAAGCCTACAAGAGAGCTTGATACCCTTTTTCTCTTTCTATTTTGTTTTCAGTTACCAAACTCTGTCTAGTTAGCACTTGGCAATTAAACTTGTTTTTGCATCTAATGATCTTGATTGACTTTTAGAAGTAGTATTTTAACCTTCTTTCTTACTGTACCTTAGCTGACTAAGTTCCAGAAACAGCTTTTCTTTCAGTATCATTGCATGTAATTTTCTTTTCAATCTCTTTTTCCCTTTTATATCACTTAGAGGTGTATCAGTAGCTTAGCACTAAAAGCACAGGCAAACTCGAGGACACAATACAGAGGTTTCTACTAAGGTATTTGAATGGTTCAATTGAGGACAGAAATTAACACTATGTTGTGAACTTTAACGCAACAATCTCGTGAAACGGGGAGATAACCCAGACTTAACTATCCCACATAGGCGAGAAGATGCTAATTTTAGATACTTTTAATATGACGTGGGAAAGCTTCCGCGTCCATATGGTCGCGTGTGGCTCGGCGCAGCCTTGGTTTTTTCAAACTCTTTATAAATCTCCTTTGCGAGTGCAATTACCGTAGCAGTGTTGTCATGAGCCATCTTTGTATAGGGCCATGATCGGGTAGATCTCTTGTGCTAGGAAAAGGGCCATGATCGGGTAGATCCCTTGTGCTAGGAAAAGTGTTCCCATTTCAAACATTGTAATGGTTACTGGTAGCATAGCTCTAAAATCTCTAAGGCTCTTTAGGGGGTGAGCCAATAACGCAGTGTTGGGCTATCTCACCGGTTGCTATGCGAGCTTAGGCTACCCACCAAGGGCTACCCCCTGGCCCTGGTGACGGTGGGAGGTTCCGATGTATAATTTTCGTTAATAATAAAACTCACCCGATTGAATGTCCCGATTGTTGCCTCGATGTGTTTTTTCTTTTTCTCGATGCGAATATGCCTTCTTGTGTGTGTGCTTGAGATTGATCTCGATATGTTGTGCCTTATTGTGAATGCTTGTAACTAACCATGGTTTATGGTTATTTGTTCAAATATCGATCTATTGAAGGCTGACTTGGTTGGGAGCGCCTATTCAAGTGCCGCACGGTCTATTGCTTGTTAAGAGAAAGCTTAGTCCGTGACACGTGGTATCAAAGTACGGTTGAGAACTAGAAATATGGATGAGATGGCCGCAAGTGGTGGACCGGATCATCAACAGAGAATTGAAGAACTTGAGGCCGCGGTGGCCGTAATGAAAACTCATATGGTGACGAAAGACCGAGTAAAGGAGATCGAGACAACCCAGCGGGAGTAGTCCGATACTCTCCACAATGTGAGCGAAGAGGCTAGAGATGCCTTGAATATTCTCCAAAAGGAGTTTGAGGAGCTCATAGCCCAGGTGAGCATCCTACAAATGGTTATGGCCAGATCGGGTTCAAGCTCGATGGACAGGGGATAAAGGCCCAAGGTGCCGGAGCCTCGATGCTATGAAGGGGCAAGGGATGCTAAGGAACTTGAAAATTTTTTGTTTGACATTGAACAATACTTCTGAGCTGTACACACGAGTTCAGAGGAAGACAAGGTGACAATGGCGTCAATGTACCTCGTAAGGGATGCCAAGCTGTGGTGGCGTTCCAAGTTTGTCGATGATGAGTGCCTGATTAAGACTTGGACGGATCTGAAGCGAGAATTGAAAAACCAATTTTTTTCGGAGAATGTGGAGTATATGGCTCGAAGGAGACTTCGAGAGTTGGTGCAAATCGAAACGGTGCGAGAGTTCGTAAGAAACTTTTCTACCTTGATGCTGGATATTCGGGACATGTTCGAAAAGGACAAGATGTTCTATTTTCTTGAGGGTCTCAAGCCTTAGGCGAAGACAGAACTACAAAGGCAGAAAGTGCAAGATGTGGCCACGGCCATGGCTGCAGCGAAACGTCTTCACGATTACAATGATGGCTCCTCAAAACGAAAAAATCCTCCATCAACTGGTAGTAGCTTTAACTTTGGGAGTGGGGGAAAGATGACTAGGTTGGACCGACCCTTCAGTGGGAGATCAAACAGGAGGTCCTTTGGTTGAGATAGCACCCAGCCCAAGACAAGCAACACAGGGATTTTCAAGCCTAGGCAACCGCTAGCTTACTTTTTTTACAAGGGGTCGCATCGAGTGGCTGAATGCCTGCACCGAGGAGCCCTTAATGCCTTACGGACCTCATCCCAAGAGTCCGCAAAAGGGCCAGAGAGGGTTGAAAAAGGTGAAGAAGAGCCAGCCAGGATGGGTTCAATAAGGTTTCTCAGTGCCCTCCGCACCCAATTGAACACTATAAAGAAAGAGTAAAGTAGAGGCTTGATGTACGTGAACTTGACGATCAATGAGAAAACCACCAAGGCCATGGTGGATACGGGTGCAATCGACACTTTCATCACACCAGAAGAAGTAAAAAGGTGTGGTCTTCAGATTAGTAAAGACTGTGGACGAATGAAGGCGATCAATTCGCCAGCCTTTACGATCAGTGGAAGCTCCAAAAGTGTGACAACCCAATTGGGGCCATTGAAAGGGAAGATAGACTTTACAGTTTCCCCCATCGATGACTTTGATGTTGTCCTCGGATTAGACTTCATGATGTTAGCTCAGGTCATCCCTATCCCCGTCGCTAGTTGTTTGTTGTTCTTAGGGGAACATCCATGTGTAGTGCCAGCTAACATCTTACCAAAGAGTGAGAAGAAAATGATTTCAGCTTTGTAATTCAAGAAAAGGGTAAAGAGAGGAGAACCTTCCTTTGTGGCGGTGCCGATCTATAAAGAAAGGTCAGAAGTAGAACCAATACCTGATGGGGTGGGAAAAGTGTTGGAAGAATTCGAAAAGGTGATGCCAGAGATGTTGCCTAAAGTTCTACCCCCTCGACGAGCAGTGGACCATGAAATTAAACTCCTCCCATGAGCGAAACCCCCTGTTAGAGCACCCTACCGCATGGCTCCGCCAGAGTTGGCCCAAGCTAAGAAAGTAGTTAGATGAGCTACTACAAATCGGGTTCATCAGACCATCAAAGGCTCCTTTCGGAGCACCAGTGCTATTTCAAAAGAAGCATGATGGAAGTTTACGATTATGTGTGGACTACAGGGCCCTGAACAAAGTCACCGTAAGAAACAAATATCACATTCCCCTTATAGCAGACCTGTTTGATCAACTGAGTCGGGCCAAGTACTTCTCTAAATTGGACTTGAGATCTGGCTACCATCAGGTCAGAATCGTTGAGGGAGATGAGCCAAAGACCACTTGTGTGACACGGTATGGTGCATTTGAATTTCTTGTTATGCCTTTTGGACTGACCAATGCTCCTGCCACATTTTGTACATTGATGAATCAGGTGTTCCATGACTACCTAGACAAATTTGTAGTCATCTATTTAGACGATATAGTGGTATATAGCTTCACCTTGGAAGAGCATCAAGAGCACCTGCGTCAGGTACTTCAAAGATTACATGACCACCAGTTATACTTAAAAAAAGAGAAGTGTGCATTTGCTCAGACCCAAATCCATTTTCTCGATCATATTGTCGAACGTGGCCACATTCGAATGGACATGGAAAAAGTTAGAACGTTAGTGAACTCCATTCATTTTTAGGACTAGCCAACTACTATAAAAGGTTTGTGGAAGGGTACTCTCGTAAGACCACGGTCCTCACGAAACTATTAAAGAAGAGCGTAAATGATGTTGGACGAGTGAGTGCCAAGAGGCCTTCGAGAGATTGAAGGATGCTATTATGAAGGATCCCATCTTAGCTCTTCTTGATATTGAAAAGCCCTTTGAAGTTCAGACGGATGCATCCGATTTTGCTATTGGAGGAGTGCTTTTGCAACAATATCACCCGGTAGCATTTGAAAGTAGAAAGCTAAGTGAAGCTGAAAGGAAATATACGGCACAGGAAAAAGAACTCTTGGCGGTGGTTCACTGCTTGAGGGCTTAACGACATTACTTGTTGGGTTCACACTTTGTCGTGAAGACAGACAATACGGTCGTTAGCCATTTTCTCACCCAACCAAGGCTTACGGCAAAACAAGCTAGGTGGCAAGAATTTTTAACAGAATTTAACTTTTGTTTTGAGCACACCGTGAGAAAGACCAATCAAGTGGCTGATGCATTGAGTAAGCGAGCAGATCTAGCAGCCCTTAGAAGAATTGCCCCAATGGTGGCTAGTAGAGCCACTACAGACATTCACAAGTTGATTAGAGATCACTTAGGGAAGGACTCGCAAGCTTGTGCCATCCTGAACTAGTGGACGAAGGGAAGTCCAAGTACTTCTGGCAAGAAAATAGGATCCTATGGACCAAGGGACCTCGAGTGTTTATGCCAAGAGCAGAAGGTCTGAGACAGATGCTAATGAGGGAATGTCATGACACACCATAGGCGGGACACCCAGGTTGGCAACGCAC